ATGGCTCTGACTTTCTGATCATAAGGTCAGAGTTTGATTGAAGTCACAGATAGCAAAAATACTTTCATTTTTACTGAGACAACAAAGACCTCTTAGCCATTGCTGTGTAGTTAAGGTTTTCTGAGTGCTCTCCCAAAGACAAAGTACTGCTTGGTTACAAATCCATTATTGCTCTTCCCCATGGTCTGACAGCTCTGTGCCCTTCAAAAGGAGGAGAGCAGTGAAAAACGTCGCATGCTGTAAGTGTCCAGTTGTCTTCTCTGACCAAATGAAAAAATGATGATGTGGAAGATCCGTCCCTTTCACAAAATCCTTCCCTTTCACAAAATTTCCTGCTTCCCTTTACTGAATTGATCTGTGAGTGAAACACGCGCTGTGTGTACAATTTACAGTGCAAGATCAAATTGTCCAGAAGAAAATATGACGTGCCTGTGGCAAATGCACAAAAATATTCTGGATGGCTTATCCTTTAAAAACAATGTTTTCAGTATATACTGCTGCAAGAAAACTGGAGATTTCATCAGGAGTTAAGAATCTGTCTGAGCTGTAAACTCTTAGATAATTTGAATAACTGGTCTCTAGCATAACATGTCACTACTATGTACCTAGTTAATGTGAGGTAGTCATGTTTCTTTGGTAAGTGGGTGACTTAGAAATAAAATGTGTCAATTAATTTGGGATACTCTAGAAAAACTCTGGGTATGAAGTTACAAATATATAGATATCAAAGAGAATGAACCAGCTGTTTAAAAATATTCTAAGATGCTTTAAAAGAAAAAATTGCAAATAAGAAAAAAATCTATAATAGAATATTGATGATGTAAATAAACATTATTTCCAATTTGAGATTGTTTTCATCATGGTAGAAACATACCCCAAGATGTACTGGGCAGCTTCTTTATTCGGTGCTTTCATTGAACTAGTAACAGATGTTAGGCCTTTCAGGTAGAGATGGGTGATGTTAGATTTATATAAAACAAATTCTATTTAAGTCTTCCATATTTTGAAAAGCAGATTACACAATTTCAAGGTATTGTATTTCTCACATCTAGCACATTCTTGGTTTTGAGGTGCATAGAAAGGAATGTTAAATATCAGCTTGTTCAGTGTTTAGTAGTTATTTGGGTAAAGCATGTTTTAAGCAAGTTTGGATAAAGCAAGTATTTAAGCATGTTTCACCTGAAATATTTATTAATATTAAAAGCATGTTTCACCTGAAATCTTTACTAATATTAAAAATCAAACAATTAATTAGCATTTAAAGATATTGCATTTTTCTCTTCAAAATACCATAAAAGTATTGTAATTATGGACTTGGATTCTTTTCATGCCTGCTGCTGAGTTTGTGAAAATAACCTTTCACCCTGGTTTTTCCATTTATGAAAAAGGAATGGTCCCAGTCCTAGTCAAGTGCTCTGATGCTTGTTGAAAATAAATCTGCTGTGTGTGTGTGTGTGTTCAGTGTTATCCCTATGATGTCGAGAATTCCTTCAGGAGAATTTATTTGCAATGACAATTTTTTAAAAATTTTGGTTACATGCTCTTTATTTTGCTCATTTGAATACAAATTTAAGACTAAAATGGAGCTCATGTCTACATAATATCTGATCAGCAGAATGCCCTTTGCTGAATAATACTGTGATGTATATAGCATAATTCCATAAATTGAATCAGAATTAGTTGTTTGCTAATTAGTTGTTTTGAATGTAGCTTTATATTTAACACCTCAGTCCTTGCAATCAGAAGTTTGTCTTTCATTTACTTCTTATTGATAGTTTATTTTCCTCAGTGGAAATACAAATAACTTTTGTGTTTGATCGCAGTCTGTATTAACCTTCTAAAACAACACTCTAAGCTTAAACCAACTTCCATTAAGTATGTTAGATTACTTTTAGATTTCTACTTTTTGATGCATTGTGAGAACAGTTATATTGGGGGAAAAGAAATACTCACTGACATGCCTCAGAGATGAAAAATAGGCATTTATAGGAAAAATTAGATCATGAATTACACATAGTAGCATAAGAGATTAAAAGATGTTGATATGGGACGGAAAAATATTGCCATGCTTCAACAATTATTTTCATCTATAAAGGAAAAGATCTTGATTAGAAACAAAACACTCAAAAAAAGAAACTGAAAAAATCCCACACCCACCTCTCCCCCAACGAAAAGCGCAGCAAAAACCAAAACACCCAAGCAAAAAAAAAAAAAATGTCCAAACCCCAAGCTGCACATGCTCTCACATGGCCTCCCAGCAATCAGTCACTGGAAACATAGATCAGAAGAACTAAGAAATATCCTTGTTTTTTGTTGCTTAGCTGGAAGATAGAGTAACTGGTATCCAAGTTAAGGAGTGGATTTTGGAATTCTTAGGTAGAAAAATCTCGTAGTTGATATCACAGTAATTGGTTTGGGCTACTGCTCTTGTATACATTGAGTCTTTAAGCTCTATAAAGCTGTGTGATAAGGAACTGTAGCTCTGAGCTGGAGATGTGAGTAGATCAACTATGTGGTTTTATCTTTCTGGCAGTAAATTATACAGTAGGACCAACAGATAAGGCTCAAGGTTTGGGTGTTTTCTGGTAGAGCAAAAATAAACAGTGATAGGTTGCAAATCAGAAAATATGATAACCACTAAAAAAAGTCATTTTCAGGCTCCTGACAGAACTACTTTATCTGAAGGGTTCTTGGGATGTGAGAATCACTCTGAGGTGCAAGCAAATGTTTTTGCTCATTAAGTAACTGTCTTTAGGTTTTGGAAAACAGTAAAATAAGGACAATCTTTTTGATTCCTTAAAATGATGATAAAGCTGTAAAATGAGAACAGAAATAGGAAAAGTTAATATCTTTGTTAGCTAAAATGTTTTATAATATAATTGAATTTTTGCTAAATGTCCTAGCTTGTTGTATTTTCTGTCAAGACTTGAAATTGATTCCTTAGGACAGCTACCACCATGGGGTCTCTTGGGTGGTTTAACTATATAGTTAGGAGAAAAATAATTAAAGAAAATCTGGCATTTGTATATGTGGTTTCTACAGCACAGAAACTACCTGAACACTCTAAGATTTTTTTTTTCCCTGCTAGTTTGTCTTAATTTGCTTCCTTCTTTTTAATATACATAATTGCCAAAAGTAGAACGTGCCATTTGGGTCAAGAAAATGCTCTAAAATTTTAGTTAGGCCTTTGTGAAATATGGTACGTATATAAATGATGTCAATTCAGATTAGGATTAATTAGTTAATGCTAAGTGGGCTGCATGGTATTTAACAAACAGAATACTTTGTTAATGCATCATTAGCAAAAAAAAAATGTTTTTCATCCTTCATAACTGAGTGTTCATAAGCAAGCCCTGTTTGTTGTTCTGGAGCATAGGTTTGCCTTTTCAGTCTTGCTAAGTTGCAAATACTATTGATTAGCTGTACCAGTACCATGGATGTAGGACAAATGGCTTGGGCGCCAGCATTCAAAAATCTCTCAAATGGGCTAAACTATATTAATATCTTAACAGCAGTATGGTCTTATGGATTTCTGTGCACAAAATATCCCACACTGGTACTTGCAGCCAGTGTTTATTCTAAAGCAGTGTCTGGTGTGCTTCTGAAGGGGTTTGCAGCTCAATGTGCCCTACTACTTGTCTATCCAAACAGCATAAACATGGAAAAATCAACTGCAAGTGCAGAGTGGGAGAAAGTAATGTCTTGCCTGCTGTGATGCTCATGAATCAAGAGATAGTTTATGTTAATGATTCCTGTACTGGAGATGAGTATAGCAAGCTTAGACTTTTGTTTTGAAAGGTTGCTGGAATAGAAGTTGCTGGAATACTAAGTTGTCTCCTTCTTCATGAACAGATGTGGACTGACAGGTTTAATTTTGTGGAAAGAAAAATTTGTCATGTTAGTGCTAAATTTAAGGTATTGTCTCCTAGACGCATGTTTCTTTTGCTCTGCCTTTGTAGTCTAGATTAACAGTGGAAATATATTGACAGAAAATCTACTTGTGAGTTAAGATTTGCAGCAGGATTACTTGCTACATAGAGATTCATACAGGAGAGAAGAAAAAACAAATTTTGCACAGGGGTACCTAAAATATGGAAACATTCTCTGGAGCGGTATTTAATGACACCCTGAAATTTATAATTAGACAAAGCAATCAATCTGCTTTTATACTAGCTTGGAAACTTCCTGGAGAATGTGACAGATCAAAAATTATTTATTTACTAATATTTTAAAATTAAATGAGAAATAATTGTTACATCACCTGAAAAAAAAAAAAAAGAAAATAAAAGAAATAGCATACCTCAGGTGTCCTGGATCTTGTTACCTCTCTGGGTGTTAGCATCAGAAATTTCCAAAATTTCTTATTTCTGCTATGTGCCAGTCAATTATTAATCTTCCATGGATCATGAAAGCTGCCATATTCTTCAGGCTACTTGCTCTGGCAGGAGTACAGTGTACCGAAATGCAGAGGTTGTACGACTAGAAAAAAAAATATTCTTTTTATTAAAAATTATTCTCTGATTGTATGCAAGGAATTATTTGGATTTGGAGGGACCTCCAGTGGTTTCCTCATTCATCTCCTGATCAGCTCCAAGCAGGCCTGGGTGGGGGGGTTCTCAGGGCTGGCTCCAGCTGAGTCTCGGATCCCGGCAGGATGGAGACCCCGTGACCCCTCTGAGCATCCTGTGCCAGTGTTTGCTCGTCCCTGCAGTAAATGCTGACTGCTCTTGGATGAACTAGCAAGTAGGAGCCAACTGCTTCATCCTTCTACTGTTGTCCACTGAATCCTTTTCCTCTTTTCCTGAAACTGAGCATAAACCAAAGAAGCTGCTTTCATCCTGCAGCTCTTGTTGGACTGCTTTGTTCTCCTTGCAGAGGAGAACTCTTCTTACACTGACATACTTACAAAAATATGTAGTTTGATTGTAATTTTGTGTTAGCAAGAAAAAGCACACTTTTGGTTGATTCTGCTTCAGTAATTTGCTTTCCATTTTCCATAGGAGTCTATTGCAAGGTGAAAGAAAGTCTGTGAGGCATTGGCAACAATCAGGCAACTATTTCTTTATCTTTAGAGGTAAGCTGTCATTAAGTGTGTTGTTTGGTATCGTATTGGAAGAGAAGTGAAAAGAAACTGGAAAAATGAGAGTGATGTTTAAGAAACCTGACATTACTATGCATAAAACAGTTTACCTGTTTCTGTGGATGTCTATGCCCAGTGCTTATTTGTGCTTATCTTTTACCAATATTGCATACCTTTTACCCTTCATCCATTGGAGTGCAGAACTTCCAAGTTACCCCACCTCTTGTTGGCAAATGTTTTAAATACGTGTTTCTTCCCTCTCTCACTGGCAGCAGAAAAAGTACTTTAACTGTTTGTTCAGTTACATAACCATGATGACAGTGGATTTTATTGGAGTGTATATAGCTTCTGATTGAGGCAAGGTCAGTCACATTTTTTGCCAGGACAATATTTCCCTGAAGTTTCTCACTGTGAGAAAACTCTATTGACTGAAGATGGGTTTTGCCTGCTTTCAAAATACTGGAGTGCCAGCCCCTGTATCTCAGTTTTTAAAACTGGGCACTCATCAATTATAGAAGGGTGGTAGTAACTCTCCCCTTATTGGGAAAGGTAGGGGCTTACCAAGACAATGAAGTACTGCTTTTATTTTTTAACATCTTAATTACTTACTTTTGTGTTATTATAGAAATTAAAGGATATGCTGAAATATAAATTTTAGTAAGATTTCTTTTCCGAGAAGGAGCAGTGTAATATGTTACCCATCTGTGGAATGCTATAATTTACAAAGGATAAAGGATATACCAAGAGATTAATTGGGTGTTCTCTTTTTCTGAGGCAGCTTTTTCTAGGAATAGCTGGTTTTAAGCTTTTCACTCCAACTTCTGTGAACTAGATTTCTACAATGAGCAGCCCAAAGGAGCATAAACAGGAGCTTCTGTTGTGGAATGCACTTCCTTTTTATTTTAAAGTGTTGATTAACCCTTTTTAGAACTTTCTTTTGATGTGACCAGACAGAGACACTCATATATCCCTTTGGGATTTGCCTGCAGTGAACCTTCTTCAAAAATCATGACCTTGGCTGTCCAAGTGACAAGGCTCTCGAGTTGTTAAAGTAGATTTGAATGAGAAGAAAGCAGGAGGCCAGAATGCGTTGCTGTAGATGTAGTGATGCAGTACTTTGTACTGGCTGAAGCACAAGTGAGGGCATCAACCACACAGGTTGTTGCTGACAGGATGGAAACCAAATCCAGCAGCATGCAGTGAGACACATACAGCAATGTTCTCATATCTGAACATGCAAGCATTTAATACATAAAGATGAAAACACATTATGCTTTCCTTTGTCTGGGCTTAGGAATTTTGACAAAGTCTTTCTTGGTAACAAGGACATTCTTTGTAATGTAGATATATGTATACCTTTGCCTTTACAGTCATAACAACTTCTTGTCAAATGAACCGAAAAGTCCCAAGTGAGACTTTCCCATCATGATAGAACAAGAACTCAATAACTTGTTATTCAAAACCCTGTGATAGAATACATTTCTGTCTTCAGAAATTGGGTTCTTTGCACATTTCCCTGGGAAAAAATGCACTCCAGTGATTGTTTCAATGTATGCACTGGGTTATAAAGGGAGTTTCAGAGATACTGTACTTATCAGCTGCACATGAACAGTTTGTGGTTTGAAGAGGGAACCTGGGATGGAGAAATCCAACCTTCTGTATCCAATTTTACCCCGTGGAATATGGCATTAAACAATCCTATTGTGTTTAAAATTTCATTTTGTCTGTTGGAACACTAGACCATATGGTTTATTTGGAGAAGCTTATGGATGGTTTGTTCATCTTTGTTTCCTGATTTTCTACTTTATATATCAGATAATGTGAGACAATTAATTGTGAATATCAAAGGTAACCCTTGAAGTTCAGCATGGTGTTAAACTATACGTTATGTCTTATTTATTTTATTGGAATACAAAACTTGTGTCTTTTTATTTAGGTTGCACATTTGAACTAGTCAGGTCGAGCTGACGTATAAAAATCCGGTAATTGTGAAATATTAAATTAGAAAAGTGTATGGATCTTGTGTTTCACAAGAACTAGTTGAAGAATTGAACAACTTCAGGAAAGATATCTTGTGAACCAGACTTGAGCTATATTTTCTGACATCAGCCAGTCTTCTTGAAATTTTTAGAAAATCCTGGTGGTGGTGTTTTAGGTTGGTTTTTTTTGGTTTTTTTTGGTTTTTTTTCTTTTCACTGTAGCCAACAGTTATTTACTTGTCTTATTTTATACATTTGTTTTATACAATAGTTTACAAATGGAAAATTTTATTAAGATATGTATTTAGGATATAGTATAGCTAACCTGTAGAAGTGCTTAAGTTATGCAAATATATATGCTGTGTGAGACACACTAGAAGGCTGTGTATCTCTAGTTATTTATATAGCTTTTAGCATTCCTGTGTATTGCAATTAATTTAGATCCATGTTTTGAGCATGTTGCATTGTTTCTTGCTTTTGAGAGTTGGTGGAACACCTCACAAAGAAATGCCCTTTGACGATAAGATTGCAAATTGGGAGTGAATGAGCAGAAGAGGAGTATGCCAGACTATAATAATGTTTGTAGCATTAATTAAACTGTTTGTTAAGTAATATATTCGGACAGACGAGTGTTTCCCAGCTTCTACATAGCCCATTATGTGTTCTAGTAAATTAAAACTAGGAAACCTTTGTTGGAGTTATAGTGCTCAAACTGACATCTAATTCCCCCAGACAATAGGTACAAGCCTGCAAGCCTCTCTAATTCTTTCCAGTCTTTACATTTATTGATTCTTTTGTAAACGTGTTTCATCCAATCTATTACCAGCAGCACTGGTTAGAAGTGTGAAGTTTGCCACGTGTGACCTAAGGCGCATTGAAACCAGCAGCTGTCTGCCAGACAGCCATACAGTTGGGCATCCCAGATTTACTTCCAATCACTAGAAAATTTGGACCTTTATGGCTGGTTTGGTTCCTGCTTTGTGTGGAGGGACTGACATGTTAATTCTTTGATCTGTCTGGTTTGCAACTGAATTTAGTTCAGCTATCATTTGTATTCCTGGTTCTAAATGTTTTATTACTCGGGTTGGCTTATATAAGTAGCTTGTTTTGATTCAGAACTTCATTTTCCCTAGTCCTGAGTAATGTTTTGCGTATACATATGTATGTTTCTTACTGCAAAGTATGGATTTAATCCTTTTTTTTTCTTAACTTGACAGGTTTTTTGCATGTCTTATTATGACAAAGTTACCAAATAATTAATGCATAATCTCTGAATGGATATAGTAAATTTTAGTGAAATGGAACAGCAAATTTTAGTGAAATGAGCACAATACATTTTTATTATTTTCTTCATCTTATACTGTAAAACATATGTAATTAATAATTGATAGTAAACAAACACATCTTATTTTTCCTACCATATTCATCACCAGTTTCAAAGCTTTGAAGTTCAGTAAATAATTTATGATAGTTGTTAGTGTAAGGAAATCTAACTGTACTCCTGATCCTGCTTGCTTTTTGTCCTTGTTGTTCTCAAGCATAGCTTTGATTGGTAGCCGAACTGAATGATAAAGAATGTATGAGTAACTGATGGGGTTAATTAAACAGATTAAAATTAAATCAGCTGTTTTTAATTTTAAAAAAATTATAAATACATAATGGAAATTTTGTGTATCTTTATTTTTTTAATTTTAAATGAATCGCATAAGACAATGAAGAACTGAATGTTTTTAATACAAAGTGAAATGTGTTTTCAGCTTGCTTTTGTTCTCAAAACTTCAATCAGGTTGTCTTTTAGCCTTGTTAAATATCTTGCTGAGATCTGCTGTATTTACTGAGAATGTAACAAAAGGTGTGAGAGTACAAAAATGAAGAAATACATGGTTTTGGCCTTAACTGAAATGTTCCATAAAATGTTAATTCCTTTGCTTTTCCTTGCTTGCATGGATAACCCAAAGATTCTGAAGAGATTTTTAAGCATTGAAGAGATTTTTTTTCCAGATCATTCAGGCTCAAAAGGTTAGCTTTTATTTGTGTCCTTATAAAATTTCTTAAATAATCCAGTAATGTATTGTGAGTCTTCAAATATATTCTGACTTACCTAAAACTTGAAAAAAAAGCAGGAAAAAAAAATACATGACTTCAGGCAGAGAGGTAAAAATTCTGTGTAATTCTGTAACTTCCAGGTACCGGTTTATGGCATCTCCAGTTTAACCCTCAAAACAGAGTGAGATCAGGACATAGCAAAGTAGTTTGAACCCATCCTCATTTGGCTGCAAAAAACAATGCAGTGTAAAACCTCTCATGGAGTTTTGCCAGACTGAGTGAGGAACTGTGGTAGAAGTTTGATGTACCTAAGAATATATTTAATTTCTTTTTATTTTTTAAAATAAAAATTTTTGTGTGCATATAAATGGAGCTGCACGACAGCACTTGTGCTCAAGACGACAGGACTGTGTAGGAATCTGTGGCCATTCTGTCCCTGGGCAGGCTGCAGCCTGCAGTGCTTGTCTTGCTGTGTTGCTGTGCATGTGTGGAGCCCCGCGCCTTTGTTTCTGACACGGGTGGTCTGGGAGCACGGGGTGTAAATGGGCTCTGTTTTGTACAGCTGTAATTACACTGAGGCATCACAGTGAAGCTTTAAAGACTATTTTCAGTGCAGGGCTGAATATATAAGGCACTAACTAGGAGGAGGCTGTTATTCCATGGTCTAGGGTCTTCTGGGTCTGAGGTTTAGGCTGGTTTGTGAGGCTTTCCACTTAAAGATGATTTATAGGTATCATGAGCCAGATGTTGTGAAAATTACCAAGAATAGCAAGAACCTGTTATTGGCTTTCAGAAATTTATTGTCTCTCAAGGTTTCTTGTACACCACTGTTATTTCCCTTGAAATCAGTGTGGGACTTGCCTTGTGTTGGCAAGACCACATTAAGCCATTATTGTCATTAGTTCACTAATTTTTCTGGTATGGCAGATGACAGAAGAGGAATGTTTTGGGAAGTTTCTGACTTTGACC